CTCCTCCCTCCCTAATTCTTGGCAACCACTAACCTGTTTTTCACCTCAATAATTTTTTTGGAGTCAGGAGTGGGGTCTTGCACTGTCCCCCAGACTGGCATGCAGTAGCAAAATCATAGCTCACTGGGCTCAAGCGATCCTCCTACCTCAGTCACCCAAGTACCTGGAACTATAGGTGCCCACGACCACACTGGGCTAATTTTTAATTTTTTTGTGGAGACAAAGTCTCACTATGTTGCCCAGGCTGGTCTCAAACTCCTGGGCTCAAGTGAACCACCTACAACAGCCTCTCAAAGTGCTGGCATGAGCCACTGTTCCAGGCCTCTACTTACATAATATTTTCACTCTAGGAATGCTGTATAGGCCAGGCTCGGTGGCTCAGCCTGTAATCCCAGCACTTTGGGAGGCCGAGGCGAGTGGATTGCCTGAGCCCATAGGTTAGAGACCAGCCTGGACAGCTGGGTAAGATCTCATCTCTACAATAAATCACAAAAAAATTAGCCGGGCATGGTGGCGTGTGCCTTATAGTTCTGGCTACTTGGAAGGCTGAGGTAGAAGGATAACCTGAGCCCAGCAGGTTGAGGTTGTGGTGGCCATGAGCATGCCCCTGTACTCCAGCCTGAGCCACGGAGTGAGACTCCAGTTCAAAAAAAAAAAAAAGAACGCTGTATAGATGGAATTATACAATATGTAACCTTTTGACTTTTTTTACTCAACAGTTCTTTGAGATCCAGCTTTCTGCATTCCATAGCTGGCATTATCCCGCCAAAAGTGGTTTCTTCCCCCACCCCACACATATAATTTTTAGTATCACCATAGATTGCTATCTTTCAAAACATGTCTTTATTTTATTAATTTCATCATTGATTCCCTTAGATTTACTAGATAACTATCATATAATCTATAAATATAGATTGTCCTTTTTTTTGAGTCAGGATCTCACCCTGTCACCCAGGCTGGAGTTCAGTGGCACAATCATGGCTACCACAGCCTTGACTTGCTGGGCTTAGGCGATCCTTCTGTTTCAGTCTCCTGAGTAACCGGGACTATAGGTTTGTGTCACCATGACCAGCTAATTGTTTTAATTTTTTATTGTGGAGACAAGGTCTCACTGTGATGCCCAGGCTGGTCTCAAACTCCTGGGCTCAGGCAATCCTCTCTCCTCACCCTCCCAAAATGCTGGGATTACAGGCATGAGCCACCCCACACAGCCTAGATTGTTCTTTTGTTTCCAATTCTTTTTTTTGTTGTTTGAGTTGGAATCTCACTCTGCCAGCCAGGCTGGAGGGCAATGGCACGCTCCCGGCCACTGCAGCCTCCACTTGCTGGGCTCAGGCGATCCTTCCAAGGAGCTGGAACTACAAGCATACGCCACCATGCCCAGCTAATTTTTTTATTTTTTATTTTTTTATCGTAGAGATAAGGTCTCGCCAAGTTGCCCAGTCTTGATCTCACGGACTCAGGCAATCCTCTCACCTCTACTTCCCAAAGTGGTGGGACTATAGGCATGAACCACCATGCCCAGCCAATTTCCAATTCTTATACGTCTAATTACATTCTCTTATCTGATTGCATTGACTAAAACCTCAATTACAATGTTATATAGAAAAAGAATAACGAGTACCTTTCCCTAGCAGCAAAGCTTTGGCCAGAGTTGGAGAACCAGAGGATACCCAGGTGGAAAGGCAGAAGGATGCGGGGTTGTGTCTAGGCTAGAGCTCAGGGTGAGAAACATGGGTCTGGAGAGGCGACACCGCCTCGTCGTAGGGTGGAGGCGCTGGAGCCAGACTGCTCGGGAGAGAATCCCGCTCCACGCTGGTGGGTCCCCCAGCAGTGCCATCTGGCTGAGTGATCTCAGGCAATTTAGCAAGCCACTCTGTGCCTCCACGACCTCATCTGTAAAATGGCAATAAGACTTTTGCTACTTATTTTAGTGTTGCTGTGAGAATTAAATTAGTGAATATGTGTAAAGGGCTGAGGACAGCTCTTGGCATGTGGTCAAAACTCCATAAATGAGGAGGGGGAAAAAAACTCCATAAGTGAAAAAAAAAAAATCCATGAATTAAAAAAAAAAAAAACCCCATAAGTGAAAAAACTCCATAAGTGAAAAAAACTCTATAAGTGAAAAAAATCTCCATAAATGAAAAAACCTCCATAAATGAAAAAAACTCCACAAGTGATAAAAACTCCATAAATGAAAAAAACTCCACAAATGAAAAACAACTCCATAAATGAAAAAAAACCCAAAAAACAAACACTCCATAACTAAAGAAAACCTCCATAAACAAACAAACAAACAAAAAATACTTCATACATGTTAAGAGTTATTTTATTGTCTGGAAGCCATCAGCTTAGAGGTGATAACAGAAGTGACAAGGCGGCAGAGAGAGAATACAGAGTCAAGAGCAAAGGCCAGACCTCTGGGAAACCCCTACACTGACCCCCTTCGTAACACTTTTTGGTCATGGATTCCTTTGGGAATCCCCGGGAAGCTACCATCCTCCTAATCCCAGTCAAATCCTGGGTAAAAAGCACCAGGCAAACTCCCCTAGGGTGCAACCTTCCAAATACCTGGTTGATAGTCCTCACCACGGTCCAGGTCATCAAAAACAAGGACGGTCTGGGAAACTGCCACGGCCAAGAGAAGCCTAAGGAGATGTGACGACAAACTACTGTGATGCCGAATCCTGGATGGGCATTTCGGAACAGAAAACGGAATCAGGGAAAACTGAAAAAACCCAAATCAACAATAAACGTTAGTTAACAACCATATATCGGTTCACAGGTTGTGACAAGTGTATCATACTAACATAAAATGCTGACAACAGGGGAAACTGAGGGCACAGGATTTATAAGGAGTGAGAAGTGAGCATCCACAGAAAGCAAGCCAAAGGGCTGCAGAGCTTGAAGATGGTGAATCTTACAAGACCAAACATGAAATGCCAAGAAGGAAGAGTTAAGGGGCCCAAATGCCAAACAAACTTCGAAGAGAATTAGCACCACTGGACTAGGCCACTAGGGACTTCTTGGTGCTCTGGGGGAAAAAATGGTTCCGGCGGGAGCAGAAGACACACAGGAAGGTGATGGAGCGCGTGTTCAGGGGAAGGAGAAACAGTGAGATCCACCACACTCGGGAGACCCTGACTGGGGAGGAAGAGGAAGGGGGCGGCTCTGAGGACCTGGGATGCTTAAGGCTGAGGAAGGGGCCTGGTGAGCCGCGGAGACGGCAGAGGAGGGAAGCGGCAGGGCGTAGCCTTGGTCTTAGTGGCAGAAAAATGAGGAAGTGATGAGCAGAGGTGGGGACATTTTGAGACATGGAAGAAGAACGTGGAAGGGGTTCAAAAGCAAAGGAGAGGCAACCTCTTCAGGTCTCCTCCCACTGTGGGAGCTTTTCTGTCCTCTTAATAAATCCTGCTTTCTCAAAAAAAAAAAAAAAAAGCAAGGGAGAAAAACAAGCATAAGGCAGAAAGGCCAACCAGCACAATGCCTCACCTGACACAGTCTCTTGTCACCAAGGGCACTGCAAGAAAACAGAGAGACCATGACACCGAGGCTGTCTTAAGAAGTAGCGGTTTCTTAGCGCCGGCGCAGCTCACTGTGCTGATGCTCCGAGGCTGAGCAACCGGAGAAAGAGGAGAGGGGCTTTATACCTTAGTTTAAGTAAGGGAGGGGGGTCAGGTTGTATGACTATACATTTTTCTTTGGAATTTACAAGGTGGTATTTAGCAAAACCAGATTTTCAAAGAACAAATTGTCTTCAGGGTACACATGATGAGCAGGGGTTGTAAACTGATAACTTTACAAAGAGAGGATGTGGGGGTAAGATTGTGAATGGATTACTATCTTGCATTTCCAGGAAAGCAGCCTTTGGCTATTTGGTTTTCTCGAGCAAACCCTGTTTAGCAGATTGATCTTTAAAAAGGAATAATTTTAACTGTTTTTAGCCCCACCCTGCCACAAGGGTGGCAGCAGCAGCAGAGGGCCATATGCTCTGTCTACTCGTAGAGGCAACACCTAGTCTTTCGATGTCTGGTACTGGCTTGCACCAGTAGCTGTGTAACTTTGCTGTTTTTTTTGTTGTTGTTGCTGGTTTGGGTTTTTTTGAGACAGGGTTTCACGCTGCGGCCCAGGTGGGAGTGCATTGCCTCCACCATAGCTCACTGCAGCCTCGAACTCCTGGGCTCAAGTGATCCTCTCACTTCGGCCCTCCGAGTAGTTGGGACTGTAGGCTGCACCACCATGCACAGCTTATTTATTCATTCATTTTTTGTAGAGGGAGGCTATGCTATGTTGCCCAGGCTAGTCTTGAACTCCTGGCCTCAAACAATCCTCCTGCCTCAGCCTCCCAAAAGCCTGGCTTGTGTAACTTTGAACAAGATACTTAGACTCCTTTTTTTTTTTTGAGTTGGAGCCTCTCCATCACCCAGGCTGGAGTGCAGGGGCACACGCACGGCCATTCCAGCGTCGACCTGCTGGGCTCCAGTGATCCTTCCGCCTCAGCCTTCCAAGTAGCCGGAACTACAGATGTGCACTACCATGCCCGGCTAATTTTTTTTACTTATTGTAGAGATGAGATCTTGCCAAGTTGCCAGGGCTGGTCTCAGACCCGCAGGTTCAGGCAATCCACACGCCTTGGCCTCCCAAAGTACTGAGATTACAGGTTGAGCTACCATTAGACTCTTAGCCTATATGTCCTCATCAAGGAATGATATCATTCATTTAAAAAAAATGTTGTGAAAAATCTTTGGCACATTAAAAATAGATGATGTCTGTAGCAGAAGATGATATTACAACGTTCAGGCTGGTAGATCTAAATCTAAAAATCCCCAAGTTGTCATAAAAGTAAACTTCCCCTCACAATCAAAGATAGCCTCTTGGTTCCAACATCCTCTTTCCAGTCTCTCTACAAGGGATTCCTCTGGGCATAGATGAGCACATGGTGTTTTGAAACGCAGCCAGGGTCTGGGAAGAATTCTTCCTCCCGCATCTTGCAGACAGAGATGTGGAGCTACCAAGGTGAGTCTGCCAGTGGATCAGAAGGAAGATTCAGGTCTCTGAAACCCAGGGCTTCAACACCTAGGTGGTAGACCCAGACCTACCACAGGCTGTTGATTCTATGCCATTATGCTAAACACCTGACATTTTAAAAAATGCGAGCCAAGTTTTCTCTTAAAGATCTGCTCCCTGGCCGGGCGTGGTAACTCAAACCCATAATCCCAGCACTTTGGGAGGCCAAGGCGAGGGGATTGCCTGAACCCAGGGGTTTGAGACTAACCTGGACAACTTGGAAAGATCTCATCTCTGCAATAAATCAAAAAATTAACTGGACACGGTGGCGTGCACCTGTAGTTCCAGCTACTTGGGAGGCTGAGGTGGAAGGACCACCTGAGTCCAGCAGGTTGAGGCTGCAATGGCCATGAGTGTGCCACTGCACTCCAGCCTGGGTGACTGAGTGAGACTCCAACTCAAAAAAAGTCTCATTATGATAGTGGATTTGTAAATTTATCCTAGTTTTGACGATATTTGTTTTACATATTTTGAAGCTATGTTATTGGTGCATACACTTCTCAGACTTTTATGTCTTTTGTTGTAGTTTTTTTTTTTTGAGTTGGAGTCTCACTCTGTTGCCCAGACTGGAGTGCAGTGG